GCACAAGAAAGACGAGACAATTAATGAAGGGATGCAGGAAACTGCAGGGATGGCTATATTTGGCCCCATATTTTGATGGCGGTTACTGCCCAAAGGGTTCAATATACAATAGCTTAGACAAGAAAGCCTTAGGCAACAAAGTAAAGATTTTATGATCTCGACTATAGTTAGGGAAGTTTACATAATCACATAGGAAACTGCTTCATAGCATATCCCTCTAGCTCATTGGTTGATTGGATTTAAATTGCACCTTTCTCCTGACACAAGATCTGCAGTACAGTTTAGACTCAATACACAGATTGCTAGTGGCTCTCTGAGGGACAGGCAGGAACTTTCATACCCAAATCTGGAGATGCTGGAGACCATACCTGGGACTTTCTGAATGCCAATTATTTGCTCATATATCCCTATTAGACTTCTACGTGTTTGATGACATTACCTGCCATTGATAGTGCTTTATCTCTGATGTTATATTTGGAAAATGATAAATCTAGAGCTATTTCTTCTAATTATCTCTCAGGCATGGGGAATTTTTGGCCCTCTAGCTATTCTGGATTTTATCATTCAGAAGCTGCAGGCATCATGGCCAATGGTAAGGGATGACTGAGGACCTAGTCAAAATATCTGGTAGGCCAAAAGCTTCCTAGTCATCCCCTAGTTGCTCATCTCAATATTGTGTGTTAGGAACTGTATAAATGATCTATGAAAAAATTACTGCTCAGTAATATCTGATCAAATCTGTGCATTTTTATGTTTACATTTGATTATGAAATTTTTGCCAGCATATTATATATTTTATTCTTTGATTTTTTTAAAAAAAATCCATCTTCTTTATATGCACCAACAGGCAGAAAACAGAAGATGCTTCTGAGTTCATAGCCTATGCAGGAGTGGCCATGTATTGCGTGGTCTCAGTCTCTGTAATCTTTTGTCTCATTTGAACAGCTGCTATCAAGAAAGTTAGTTACTTAAGGGTTGTCCATTCACAAAAACTAGACAGTGATTGTTTGCTGGATCACCAGCTCCACTAAGTTTGTTCCAAACACTTACTTGTCCAAGCTAACCTTGAAATAGTTTTCTTCAGGTCACAACTGGTGGCAACTATATCAGTGAAGAAGTGAAATTCCTTTTGGTTTTATTCCATATTTTAAAGGAGCTATCCAAAGTGCTAAACTATTTTGGGGATTTCAACAGAGCTGGGGTCCTCAAATGTTTTAAACAGAGGGCCAGGTCACATCCCTCAAACTGCTGGAGGGCTGGATTATAGTTTGAAAATTCATGAATGAATTCCGATGCACACTGCACATACCTTATTTGTAGAGCAAAAAACGCTTAAAACAATACAATAATTAAAATGAAGAACAATTTTAAGAAATATAAACATTAGTATTTCAATGGGAAGTGTGGGCCTGCTTTTGGCTGATGAAATAGGATTGTTGTTGTTGTTGTTGTGTGCTTTCAAGTCATGTCTGACTTAGGTTGACCCTGAGTGAGGGCCAGGTGAACAACCTTGGAGAGTTGTATTCGGCTCCCGGGCCGTAGTTTGAGGACCCCTTCTTTAGAGAATTCCTTTGAAATTCAAACTTGAACTCAGAGCTGATTCACCATCCTTCTATCATGGGACCCAACATGGTTTACTTCTATTAGGTGCTTCAAGTTAAAACCTTATGGCAATCCTAATGGAACGCTAACACTTGGGTGTCACAAAAGAAGACCCAACTGTGGAAGATGTTGTGTTGAATTCCTCATGCTACAACAACCAAATGAAGATTGTATGACAGTGAATATCACTAATAGGATACCAGCCCACATTACATAAGGTAAAGGTTTCTCCTTGACATTAAGTCTACTTATGTCTGACTCTGGGGGTTGGTGCTCATTTCCATTTCTAAGCCAAAGAGCCAGCATTGTCCATAGATGCCTCCAAGGTCATGTGACTGGCATGACTGCATGGAGCACTGTTACCTTCCCGTCTTAGCGGTACCTATTGATCTACTCACATTTGCATATTTTTGAACTGCTAGGTTGGCCGAAGCAGGGGCTAACAGCAGGAGCTCACTCTGCTCCCCAGATTCAAACCGGTGATCTTTCGGTCAACAAGTTCAGTAGCTCAGTGTTTTAACCCACTGCACCATCGGGGGCTCCTTACTTTAATGTTATTGTCAGAGATGGCAAGAGGTGCTCTTGTACCCAAATGACTTGTCTGCCTTGGGCTATTGGACACTTTGGCTGGGGTGAGGGCACCCTTTGCTACTCTGAAGATGAAATTAAGTCTTTCGGAAGAATGCAGCCTGAGAGCCCTGACATTGTTTGAGTGCCCTATTTTTATGTAATTTTAGTTAAAAAATAAACTGCAAACACCAGTGTTGACATTTCCATGGGTCAATGTGAGTACTGCACCTTAACTGTTACAAAAAAAGAAACCATGCCTTTCTCTGAATAGAGTGTCAAAAGGTACGAACTGCATCCAACCTGGGAGAACTTAAATGACACCGTCTACTCTACTCTCTCCACCACGGTGCAGCTTCTGGCTTTTTTGAATGCCTGACTAGGGATATGGCAGCAGTGACCAAGGGTGCCTGTCCCCTGAGGTGTCATTGGTGGTTCCACTCTCCATGGAATGACCCTCAACTTATCTATGGGTTATATCAAAATCCTTAATTTTGCCTCCAAAACTATCCTTCTTCATGATTTTAATGGGTCTAGTCCTTACACAAAAAAAAAAATGCACAAGTGACTCCAAACTAGAATTAAAATCCAGCTATTTAAAGCACATCTTCATACCAGGCAATCAAATGTCTACAATGAAACTGCATATAGGTGCTATCTACATTGACTATTTCATGCCATTTGAAGCTATCTTCAATGGGTGTAGCCCTAGCTTCAAATTGTAGGAGCCAATGTCCCACAAAAATGTGCGAAAGGAAGCCCTTAATTCGCACTGTGCCATGTGGTTTGTGTAATCACCACCTGGGTCTTAAACTGGTTCCAGGATTTTCTTTTTCAATCATCTGCACAATAAGAACACTTTCTACAATACCATTTTGAAACTACATTAAATGGTCAGTGTAGATGGGGCCCTTTGAATGAGGCTGCCTCTATCAGACCTCAACTGTCTTATCTGTAAGTCTTAAGGCTGAGCCTGAATGACCTCCCCAACTTCAATGTTCCTTCTACAGGCTCCGAATGAAGCTTATGGGAAGTTCATGGGGAAGGATTTGCCACATACAGCAGCCACAATCATATACCTCTGGGTTTGCCACTTCTAAATTTATTTGCCCATATGAAACAAAAATATGAACTCAAAAATTGTTCTCACTCCACTTTGACTATATTGTTTTTGCCCATAAGATACAAAAACAAGAAAATAAAATGCTGTCCTCATTCCAGTTTGCTTGTAGTTGTTGTCATCATTTCATGCGCTACATAAGACTATCATGGGGACAAATCAGAGAGTCTGCAACTCTTTGGCCCCTTCTACACTATAAAAATCCAGATTACCTGCTCTGAACTGGATTATCTGACAGTGTAGACTCATACAATCCAGTTCAAAGCAAATAACGTGGATTGTCTGTTTTGATAATCTGGATTATATGGTAGTGTAGAAGGGCCTAAGTGTGTGATTAACTACTTCATTACCTACTTATAGAAAAACAAGGACTACAAAAATGGTATGTTGGTTTTTAAAATATTTCATGTAAAGTCCTTCAAGCTCCTTTTCATATTTCTTTTTGAAGCTATTTGGGCTCAGTAACAGCTTTCATGTTACTTGGTTTTCATTAAAGTCAGCCTGATTTACCCAGACATCTCAAATTGCAAGCAATGGAAGAAATAGAATTCAGAGGCATTTAATATCATATCTCCCTTGTTACATCTTGTATTTTCCATAGAGATGAGCATCTTTGGAACTTGTTGCTTAGATTTATGCATTTTCCACAACATTTGTTGGATGCCTCACCCAAAATTTTCTACATCTGAATTTTTGTACGAAAATTAAATTCAGGCCAGACGAAGGTAATAGCCCAAGAATAGCAGTGGGAAAGACCTCATTTTTAGGGGAGATATGGGCGAAGGCACCCTTCCACTCTTTCAAGTCTGCCATTTTTTCCTTACACTCCTCTCAGGGATGGCTGGTGGATCTTCTACTGCAAGGAAAATGAATCCATTCTGGATGTTACCCTTGCTTCTCCCCCAACTGCTCTGAATTGAACAGGAGCGCTGCTGGTGCCAAACCTCTGAAGACTCCAGCACTGGGGAAATTCGCATTCATATTGGGAGCAGTTGCAGGAGAGGTGGTGAATTCAGGCAACTTTAGAATCACTTCCACATTTTATTGCTCTCCATGAATAAAAAATAAAGTCACTATGAATAGCTGACAAGCATCCAAACAGTGTGGCAGCCTTAAACACCCTTGCATTTCCCTTTCTTACCAGACATGAAGCAACTATAAGTGTAAGTCATTCCATTTTTCAGCTTCATTTACTTTTCTCTCTCTCTCATGCTTATCCGATTCCCCACTATACCTACTAACTTCAGGAGTGGCTTAAGACAGGGGTGTCAAACTCATTTTCACTGAGGGCCATATCAGCCTGATGATTACATTCAAAGGGGCATTTTTAATTGCAAATCTGTATGAATGAAACTATGTTGCTTTGGCACTAAAAGCCTTGTGGGCCACGTAAAATGACATGGCAGGTCAGATTCAGCTCATTTGACATGTGTAGCTTAAGCAATTCATGAAGTTGTGTGTAATTTTGCAAAACATGCCCTTTAGGAAATCATTGAACATGTCTTTTTCTGCTCCCTCCTCCAAAAAGAACCCCAAATCAGGATTTTTTGAAGAGCCCAAAAATACCCCACCATTATTCTCTTTCACAGCATCTAGAGAGATGGACATATGGACAAATACACACACATACAAGGCTCCAGCCACCCAAACCTGTAACTCCATTGGCAACTAAAAAGGCCAGATTTTAAATTGCTGGGTCCTGGTGACTCACTTTCTCCGTCATATAGTATGGGTCAAAGTCCTCCAGTGGTACAGCAACCAGGCCTTTCGGGATATCCCCATAGATGAAAGGCAAACTCTTCCCTGCTTCCAAGTCGCTGTTTGGTTTTGGTTTGCTCTCTTCATCATCATCCCTGTGACTGCCCTCTTGTTTCGGACGCTTCTTCTTCTTTTCTTCTGCAATGCGCTTCTCGATGTTAGCCAGGGATTCTGGAGTGAAAGGTCTAAAACTATCAGGGCCTGGTGGTGCAAGCAGCCGCCCTGCCATCTTTTCATCCTGCAGAAACTTCTTTAGTTATGTTGCGCCCAAGATAGGTTAGCTCTGTATGGAAAAGAAGACAACAGAAAGCACAAATCATTCATCACCTTAATGGTGTCTGGATGAGTCTTTTGGGAGGGGAGAATGAAGGAGGTTGTTTTTGCCACACAGGTACTTATGCTGTCCATGACTTTCACCACCTGAATATTCTCAGGAGTGTTAGTCTAATTTTGAGTGCCTTATTTGATTCTTTAGGGCAATAGCCTTATAATATTTTTTTTACACAAAATAACCATCAAGATGGTTAACCCACTTAACACATGATAAAAAAGCAGATAGTAGAGACCATATCTTTACCACTGGCACATTTTGTGCTGACAAGTATATTATTTTGGCAGGCAGTCTTTCATGATTGACCAACCTACCAACCAGTTTGTTGGTGTTGTATGTCTTCATTTTGTTGTTTATAGTTGTTGTATGTCAACTTATGGTGACTGTAAGGGTTTTCTGGGACTAAGGGTGTGTGACACACCCAATGTCACCCAATAGGCTTCCATGACTGAGTGGGGAATCAAACCCTAGTTTCCACAGTCATATGCCCCATCTGCACTGACATATAATATAGTTTGGAACTGCATTATATGGTCAGTGTAAAGTCATACAACTGATATAAATTTAAAGGAATGTTATGTTTCAGTGTCTGCTAATGCCTGTTAAATCATTTGTTTTCAAAACTGTGTTTAGAGTCCTCATCTTTCTTAAGGGCTTGCTAAGGTTTTCCAGTACGCCAACAAACAATAGAGGAAAATCAAATTTTACATGTTTACATAGGGAGATATCTAGTACCTCCTAAGCAAGGAGTTCCCCATTTGTCACTTAGCATAAAATTCTGTCTTAAATTACTGCATTTATGTCATTGATTTGAAAAGCACCATTTTTAAGCTTGTTGTGTGCCCTTAAGTTAATTCTGACTTATTGCACCTCTGTGATGAACCTATCATGCTTTTTCGTTCTTGGCAAGGAGGTTTACCTTTGCCTGTCTCTGAGACTGAGAGAGTACACCTTGCCCAAGGTCACCCAGTGTGTTTCTGTGCCCAAATGTGTATTTGAATCCTGATCTGGTGTTTTTACAGAGTACCATCCAAAGGCCCAAGTCATCTGGCCAGAGTTTGACATGAAATGAATGTAGTCCCACAGCATGCCCCAGAATTATTTTGAATACACAGGAGCCTCTGACTGATGCTTAGAGGAGCCTTGACCTGTCAGTCCATTTTAGAAGAAGACTCCCATGAAGATAGAATGATAAAAAAACAACAACAATGTCAGATGAACACAGACTTCTTTCACAGGAAGTCAGTATTTCCTGCCAGAAAAGTCGGTATCATAATCCTGGCACCCCAAAGTTCGCCATCAATAAAATGTAAGTTCAGAATAATAAATCAGTAAATAATAATAAAAATCTTTGGCCTAAACATGGAACAGTAAGTATGCAAGTATGCATAAGACTGTTATCACCAGCTCAGACATAATGGAGTCTTGAGGTACTAACATCTATAAACACATGATCATACCTTGACAAAGATTTATTGATAATTAAGCAAATAGGTTTTCTAACTATGTAAAGACAAATGTAATTTTTTCATGTGACAATAAAAAAATTCTAATATGTTTATTGTAAATGTTAATTACTCAAAATCAAAGAGCTACTATTCAAAATAAAAGCTAAATATCTTACTAAAATTTCTATCTTGTAACACACATTTATATTATATTATTTTATTATTATTACTATTATTATTATTATATGGGAGCTTGTGTGTAGGTATATGTGAGTCTCAGTTTGTCTGTGAATTTTAACAAGCAGGCGCCAAATGGCAATATGCCTGCTTGGTGGTTTTCACATAGACTTGGAATCCAACTCCTACAACTTCCAGAAATCGCAGTCAGTTTCCAAACTGTTAGGATTTCTGGGAATTGAAGGCCAAAACATCTGGGGACCCACGGGTTGAGAACCATTGATCTAGGGATATATATCTTCCTCTACATCAGTAGTTCTCATCCGGTGGGTCCCCAGATGTTTTGGCCTTCAACTCCCAGAAATCCTAACAGCTGGTAAACTCGCTGGGATTTCTGGGAGTTTTAGGCCAAAACACCTGGGGACTCACAGGTTGAGCGCCACTGAACTACATTCAAGAACTACCTTGGTTCAATTCCTAGACAAACCTAGAATTGAATTGAAAATAAGTAAACAACAATGTATCCACACTCTCCAACACTTCACAGATGAAAACTGGAACAAGTGTGGTCAAAGCACATACAAGTCTGGTTAAAAAGGCAGAATTTATCAGACAGAAGCATTGTGCTTTTGCCTGTGTTTACAGGAAAGGGCGAGATTCTGTCCCTTCCTTTCCTCTTCTGAATTGAATGTAAGCTGCTTTTCTGTTTTGAACCCATTTTGTAGTAACTGTATCAAGCCATGGGGTGAAACTTTGAGGGGGGGGGGATGGGGGGGATGTGGGCTGAGAAGAAATAAATTAGGATAATTTAAGTGCTAATAAAAAGTGAAATGACAAAGGATTAATTAGGGCTGTCCCTATCAGACTGAGGCAGAGAGGGTATAGTAGCCCTGCCTTCCCAAAATAAATTATTTCCAGTATTTGGCATCTATGACACATCAAGGACAGTAAGGAACATATCAACTATCTGCTAGTCTAGAAAAACGATGAACAGCCAGCTGGAATCCCTGATATTACATGTTACATGTAAGTCAGTGTGAGGTAGGACATTTTGGCTAGGATTGCCTGTTTCCTACCAACCTTTGCTCCTATCCTTTAACAGCATAGGCAGGGTTAAAAGGAAGTTCATCTTGCAGACATGCAGCAAAATGTTTCACCTGCTGATTTCTACAGACTGAGCTACTCCTCCAGATGCAAAAAGCATTCAATCCCATCGCTCTGCACCCCGCTCTCTAACAAGCCTGAGCATTGCAAGGCCAACCCTACCTCAAAAGGCAATTCTCTTGCCCTCCCCAAGACAGCAAATCTCCACTGTAAATAAGGATATGAGGAGGCTAATGTATGAGGTTGGTGAGCATCAAGGGAGGGGGACTAAAGTAAAATCAAAGAAAACAACTATTTTCTTAAAGGATGAGTCTGGAGAAGCAAGTTTGCATTCAGCGGGGACTGCACAGTGTCCCCAACAAAGAGGGCACCGACCAGGTATGACGTGCTCTCAAACTGAGGAAGTGTGAGTCAGAAACAACCACCACCACCACGAAACGGTAAGCCCAACACAGGGAGTTGGTCTGCATCGAATGCTCCCATAGAGAAAACACGCGCACATACACGTACATTCCTAGAGATGCAGCAGCACCCCCTCCTTTTCTTTGCAGATGAACCCTTTATGCTGGGGAAACAGGAAAGAGACCGCTCTGTGCCTCCCTGCATGAGGACTAACAGTTTGAGCTCTCTCTCTCTCTCTCTCTCTCTCTTCACACTGAAGGAAGGGGAGTGGAATTCTAGAAGCTGTGCACTGATGCAACGGCACTGCAGCACTGCAGACTGAAATACAACAGAGCACACGGGCTTTGGCACTTAAGGGAGTAGTCTAGCTGTTGGACGGGAAGAAGGCTGGAGGTGCAGAAACAATAATGTCATTGCTGCTGCACACACCAGACGCAGATGGATCGGCTCATAAAAATAAGCACAGAGGGTGCCCTTCCGCAAATAAGGAAAGAGCCACATTAGTTGCCTATCTCCCTCAAGAACACATACATTTTTGGGCAAAATCCTTACAGACTAAGACAATGGGACTAGTGAGGTTCTTGAATCAAGAATGATGACTTAACACATTACTTGAAGGTAATGATCCATTTTCAGGGACAGATAGCTATGATGCATCTATTCCAGCAAGAAATCAGTCATGAATATTATTCAGATACCCAGCTTGTTTCCCTTACCTCTCTTACCCTGCGACCACTGACAAGATTGGGTGAGATCCTATGACAGTTTTTTCTAGAGCAGGCATCCTCAAACTGCGGCCCTCCAGCTGTTTGGGCCTTCAACTCCCAGAACTCCTGACAACTGAACAAGCTTGTTAGGGCTTCTGGGAGTTGGAGGCCCAAACAGCTGGCGGGCCAGAGTTTGGGGATGCCTGTTCTAAAGTAGCCTCTTCTGTAATTCCCATCAGTTTCAAAGGACCTGTGCTACAAAGGACAGACAATGGGTTTAGCCCACTGGAAGTTTACTACTATGGTGCTTTGGCTAGAGTACTGTACTCTGTTCAAATTGGAGTTCTCTCAGTGGTTGTTTCTCTGATCCGTCTACACTCAGAACTGCAACAACATAAAATTGTAAGAAAGTGTAATAAGTCAAATCTTCGAAGAAATAGTGAAATAAAATAAACATGTACATGAAAACTCGTATTATAACTTTTTAGAAAAAGTATTGTGACTTAGTTTACTTGCAACTGCAAGGAGGCAATAGGTTGATGTGAATTGCTGGCTTCATCATGAGTAAGATTGAAACAACTAACTAGTAGATTAATCAAGCCGCAGTGGCACCATGGGTTAAACCGTTGTGCCAGCTGGACTGCTGATCTGAAGGTTGGGTGGCTGACTTGAAGGTTGCTGATTTGAATCCACAAGATGGGGCGAGCTGCCATCTGTCAGCTCTAACTTGCGGGGATATGAGATAAGCCTCCTAGCAGGATGGTAACACATCTGGACGTCCTCTGGGCAACATCTCTGTAGATGGCCAATTCTCTCACACCAGAAGCGACTTGCAGCATGTTCTCAAGTCGCTTCTGACACAATAAAAAAATCAATAACTAAAGATAAATGATCGCAAAAACCCCCCAAATCTACAAAGCAAGGCTTAAATTGCATATTTATTTAGTCTATATTGACTCTGAGGTATTCAATGTTATAACAGATAACCAAAAAAGAAAGATGATCTGGACCTTCATGTTTTGCACAGTAGGTTTTCCTTGTTCAATCCCCACACTCTCTGCAAAAGTTACTCTTTGACAATTCTCAAAGGTCACCAAAATGTGATGCCCTTTTC